CCAGGGATGCGCATCTTCCCACAGACCTGGAAGCCAAAAGTCCCAGCGCCCAGATGTCAGGGAGAAAGTAGCTCCAGCCTGTATGTCCCGCCCCCTCCTGCGTCCTCCCAGCCATGCACTGTAATTTGACCCATTTGACGCTGCGTCTTCTAGCACTACCAGTCCTCTTTCTCAAAGACGGGCAGCTTGCCCAGGCCGGCCACGGGGCCAGCCACGGGCCTGGATCACAGAGCGCCCTTTTGTTCTCATTGAGCCGTACAGTGGCTTTCTTCTTCATCATCACCTGCTCTCTGGGGTTCGGGAGAACGTTTTGTCCGGTGACCTTTACTTCTGCTGAGTCACCTCTGCTTCCCAATCGTGGAAGAGTCGTGAGGCTTCCTTTTGAAGCACAAACGTGTGTGTAAGGCGAATCGGGAAAGAAAAGCCGGCCTCTGCGAGTTGGGGAGGTGCTCAGGGGCAGCTGGTCAGCCTGTAAGGTGCACGCGAGGCCCGGTCACCAGACCCAGAGTCTTTCTTCAAACCCGGGCCACCTTGGCAGAGCACAGGTGGCTCGAAGGAGACTGTTACAGGGGTGCTAGTGAGAGATGAATTCAAGAATGCCATTTGGCTCTGGTGGTGCTGTGGGTTAGGTGTTGAGCTGCCACACTTAAGGTTGATGGTTCAACCCCACCAGCTGCTCTCCAGAACAAAGATGAGGCTGTCTGCTTCTACAAAGACGGACAGCCTCAAAAGCCCTGTATAGATGGGTTGCTATGGGTCGGGTAGCAGTAGGCTGGGTGTTGAGAATATGTGGGCTTTTGGTCAAGCTCTCTGGCCAAGAAAGATAATGAACCAGTTGGGGGGATGGGGGACGGCACTGTGGCCTAAGTCATCTTCTTAATGTTGGGATGCACAGGGTATGCACCCACCGAGATTCCTGCAGGGCAGCTTGACCATGCCTCCAGGCGGGTGAGCCTCAGAGCATAGTGTCTACCACCAACATGCCTGAGGGTCCTGGGGGAGACCCTGGGTCTCACTCCCAATCCTAGAGGCTCAACATCCCACCCAGGGGTCCCAACCCTGTGCACTCCTTCCTTGCTAGTGGCCTTGGTCACCCCTTGGCACCGTGTAGCACCCTCCCCTGTTTGTGTGCCTCTGCTGGTGTCCATAGAGCTTGGAGATGGTTAGTTTCAGGAGCATCCCACAGGAAACTTTCTTGTGAACATGACAAAGAAAGCACATTTTCTAGTGGAATCACATCCCCAAGCCCCAAACTCACTGCCATGGAGTTGATGTTGACTCATAGCAACCCTGTAGGGCAGGCTAGAACTGTCCCTGTAGGATGGATGGATGGATGCATGGGCGAAAGAATGGTAGATGGAAGGAATGATGAGGGGTATAGAAGGATGAAGGATGGACGAGTATAGATGAAAGGATGGAAGAATGGATAGATGGA